GCTGGGCATGGTGGTGCGTGCCTGTAATCCCAGCTACTCAGGAGGCTGAGGCAGGAGAATTGCCTGAACCCAGGAGGCGGAGGTTGCGGTGAGCCAAGATTGTGCCATTGCACTCCAGCCTGGGTAACAAGAGCGAAACTCCGTCTCAAAAAAAAAAAAAGAGAGAGATGATTTCACTCACTGCCCTGCCCCCTCACCTATATACAATAAATACTCACGCTTCTGGACATTCGGGGCCTCGCCTGTCTCTGCTCATAGGTGGCGTGGCCCTCCGAGCCCAGCTGCGTTTTCCTTGTACTTCTGTGTCCTGTCTCTTTATTTCTCAGATCCTGCGCCTCAGCACAGCATAAAGGACACCCCACGACCCTGTGGGCCATCAGCCCTACAGAGAGGAAGCAAATTTATTCTGAACTGGGTAGAGTAGCTCATGACTAATTTGAGGTCATTTGAGGTTAGAAGTTTGAGACCTGTAAGGCTGTAGGGCCCCACAGGGTCATGGGGTGTCCCTTATGCTGTGCTGAGGCACAGGATCTGAGAAGCAAAGAGACAGGACACTGAAGAACTGGTGAAGAGCATCTGGGTTTGGGGGACCACGCCACCTGTGAGCGGAGATTGGTGAGAGCCCCAAATGTGCAGAAGCATCCGTATTTATTAGGTACAAGGCAGGGGGCAGGGTCGTGAGTGAGGTCATCATCTATAGGCTTAGTGATAGGGCATACATAGTCACATGAGTCACAAGCGAGGGGGCCACCCCATTATGTCACGTGGGCGGAGAGGTGGGCCATGCCGTGCGTGGTACTAGAGGGTCGTGTACAGAAAAGGGGTCCACCCCCATTAGGTCACCGAGGCAAGGAGGTGGGCTGTGTGCAATGGGTGTCATGTGCAACACTTCTTATCTGGGGGCTGGAGACTTTAAAGGGTTTCTAATAGAAGGACACTGTAAGCCAGCGCAGTGGGAGCTGACAGACGTGTGCTCTTCTCTAAGATATTTATGGGAGGATGATTTGAACTAGCACAGAAGTGAGAAAAGACTGACGGTGCACAGCCACCGTGACTGGTCACACAGAGGGGTTCTTCTCCCTCGGTTACTTCCAGGATCTCAGGCCTGAGGCCGACTTTCCACAGGAACCAGATGCAAGGTGCTACAACTCCTTTATCAGGAGGAGAGGCTCCTGCTCCAAGCCTGCCACACAGCGTATGCCCTTGCAGGCAGGGACGCCACCGCCCAGGTCTTGGGTTCTCGTCCCGGTCTGGCTGTTTTCCCATGTACTGCTTCTGTTCTGACTGCTCTAGGCATTCCTCCTACTACAGACTACTATATGGTTATATAGAAGGATTCTATAAATCAGCACTAAATGTGTCAGTACAGCTCCAGCTACAATACCTGTATGATTATATAGAAAGATTATATGAGACTAAGTATAATTATATAATTATATATATAAGCTAGATATGGTAAGCAGTAAGTTATACTTCAGGCACTAATTCTATAAACTAATATATGATTATTCATATAGGATTATATAAAGGAAATAGCTGAGTAAGAACACTATAAACTAAGATATTCTTCAGGCACTAATTGTGCCTGGGGTCTGGACATTTCTCCTTCCTCCACGCCCATGGGGGGTGGTACCCTCAGAGACCAGCCTGACCAACATGGTGAAAACTCATCTTTACTAAAAATACAAAAAAATTTAGCCAGGCGTGGTGGCACATGCCTATAGTCCCAGCTACTGCGGAGGCTGAGGCAAGAGAATCCCTTTAACCCAGGAGGCAGAGGTTGCAGTGAGCTGAGATTGTGCCACTGCACTCCAGCCTGGGCAACAGAGTGAAACTCCGTCTCAAAAAATAAAAACAAAAAGTAATATGTGGGTGCGGTGGCTCACGCCTGCAATCACAGCAGTTTGGGAAGCTGAGGCAGGTGGATCATTTGAGGTTGGGAGTTTGATACCAGCCTGGCTAACATGGCGAAACCCCATGTCTACTAAAAATACAAAAATTGGGCCGGGCACGGTGGCTCAAGCCTGTAATCCCAGCACTTTGGGAGGCCGAGGCGGGTGGATCACGAGGTCAAGAGATCGAGACCATCCTGGTCAACATGGTGAA